CATTTTTATTAGGACGTTTACAGTACATAATGTTTATATTCCTTGTGTGAAGTTGGCTCATGTATATAACACCTCATATTTCCTTTTTCCATCCTGTTTCCTTCCCCTCCCTTCCCCTTTCCTCCCACTCTTTTTACTTTTTATTTTGAGACAGGATCTCACGAAGCTACTCAGCCTGACCCCCAACTTGCCATCCTCCTACCTTTGCCTCGAGAGAAAATGAAATTATATGTACGCGCCCAGCTCCCTGAATCGTCCTGTGCAACAAAACCTAAACAAGTGGTCAGAAAATTAGAGCACTAAAAATAATTTTGGTAAACTAGAAAGGTGTGGCCGGGTGTGGTGGTTCATGCCTATAATTCCAGCACTCGGGAGGCTGAGGCAGGAGGATCGCTGTGAGTTCGAGACCAGCCTGGACTACACAGTGAGTTCCAGGTCAGTTTCAACTACCTAGTGAGACCCTGTCTCAAAAAGAAACAAACAAACAAACAAAAAAACTAGAAAGGTGTGCTCTTTGGCATGAAGTTTGGGAGCTTGTTTGGGGGTTCTAGCAGGGGAGCGCGGCTTCTCCTATCCCCTTGACCAAGGAAGCAGCCCTTCTCTGTCTGGGGTAGTTGGCAGCTTCAGGAGGGCCACACACGGGGCCATGGAGCGGTGAGGGAGGAAGGGGACACCTGCCTGGCTAGCCGGACCAGCCAAATCCAACCTGGTGATTAGTGGGGTGACAGATGTTGCAGTCAGATCACCCTCACGTCCATTTGGCATGTTCCTTGGTAGTTGTTTTAAACACCCAGGTACTATGAGTCCACTGAGCTATAATGAAACTCCTACAGCTCCCCCAAACTTTTTAAATGTGAATAAAGCTTTTTTTTGGGGGGGCGGGTTTGAGACAGGGTCTTACTATGTAGTTGAGACTGCTCTGGAACTCACTGTGTAGCCCAGGCTGGTCTCGAACTCACAGCGATCCTCCTGCCTCAGCCTCCCGAGTGCTGGGACTACAGGCGTGCACCACCACGCCCAGCTAAAGCTTTTCATATTTATAGCCAGTAAGTAAAAGTGACAGAAAGAAATTGAATTGGTGCCGAACCCTGTTTCACTTGAGCAATAAGTAATCATCCAAGAATGCATGAAATATTTGGCAAACATTCCATTCCTCTCATTCCCTACTAAAAAATGTACTTATTGCTTAACAGTTACTTTTGCCAAAATTAATTCTGTCTTGTGTTGATCTATGGTGTACCACTAAAAATTATAATGATAGTGCAGTGCAGGAGAAACATTTTAATAAGGCCATCTCATCTCAGAAAATTAGAAATAATAATTTAAGGGCCAGGGATTTAGCTCAGTGGTGCTGCTGCCTGCCTCACAAGTGCAAGGTCCTGAGTTCAATCCGTGGTACCAAAAACAAAACAAAACCAGAAATAATAATTTAATGTTTATAGATTTCATCATAGACTATGTTAGGATGAGGAATGTGATATTTTCTAGCATAAAAAAAAATCACATGAAGTTAGAATTACAAGGAGAAATGGAACGGAAATGCCAGTTCCAGAAGAAAATAACACAGTGCAAAATGCCAGCGCCCCCCATACCAGAGTTCGAACTCAGGACCTTGCCCTTGCTAGGCAGGCACAGCATCACTGAGCTAAATCGCTGGCCCCTCAAAACTTTTCTGAAGAGTTTCTTCATGATACTTTTTTCCAGTACTGAGGATTGAACCCAGAGCCTTCACACTGAGCTACAACCCCAATCTCTTTTTAATTTTTAATTTTTAATTTTTATTTCAAGGCAGAGTCTTGCTAAATTGCTAAGCTGTCCAGGCTGGGTTCAAAATTGCCATCCTCCTGCCTCAGCCTCCCAGAGTGCTAAGATTGCAGGATTGTGCCACTATGCCTAGCAATTCATGATATTTTAAAACAAACTATAGTAAGCACCAGATAAGTATTTCAGTTCCACGGGATGCAGTTTTAGAAGTAATATGACGATTTTATTTAATGTTTAATACTTCAGTGTACTGGAAATGATGCAACCTGAAGTTTATTTTACATTCTAAATGTCTATTTATTAACTTTTTTGCAGTGCCAGGAATTAGACTCCAGGACCTGAGCCTGCTAGGCAAGCGCTCTACAGCCCCAACCTAAATTTTTTTTTAATTCAGTTGAATTTAAGAGTGTGCCAGAGTCCTGGGAGCTGCACAGGCTACTCAAATCCTTCCTAGATTACTCAGAATAAAAGGGTTCGAAGATGACTGTCATGGAATAAAATGTGGCCTCAATCCTAGGCACCCTAAAGAGTTACATATCAATCCCCTCCTTTAAGAAAAAACCCAGCCAAACACATCTTCACCCAAAGGAGAGTTTCGGGTGCAGCAGAGCCCCGGCTGTGAATCATAACGACTGTGGTATTCTGTTGTTTTCTCATTGCTGCTGTTATTGTTTTGCTGCTGGGGGCTGGACCCAGGGTGGCTCACATGCTAGGTGAGCGCTACACACCTAGCCCCAATGCCAGCCTCTCCTCTGGTCACAGTGACACTCACATCGCATCCCCCGGTGTGCTTGGCTCATTAGACAAACTCTCACGGCGCCACTCCCACTTCCTCACAGGAAACTTCGCGTGGCTCCAGACTTTACACTCTAAGGAACCCAGGATCACATCAGGCCTTGTGACCCAGAGTGGATTTGCCACCAAGCATCTCTAATCCTTAGTTTCCTTATCGTACGTAAAAACCCTTGGCCCAGGGCCTGGCCCATGATAACTGCCCAGTAAATTGCCAGGGTTTTATTTGCTTGTGTTGCCGTGCTTGGTATCAAACCCCGGGCCTTGCAGATACTAGACAGAGTGCTTTACGATAGAGCCACCCCAAACTGTGGCTGTTAAAAACCAAGGACAAGCCCGGCATGGTGGCGCATGCCTGTAATCCCAGCACTCAGGAGGGTAAGGCAGGAGGATCTCTGTGAGTTCGAGACCAGCCTGGGCTACATAGTGAGTTCCAGGTCAGTCTCAACTACATAGTGAGACCCTGTCTCAAAAAAAAAAAAAAAAAAAAAAACAAGGACAAAGAGAGTAGAAAGTCCCTGTATTGCAAAAACAGAACTAGCTGGGAGTGATGGCCCATGCTTGTCATCTGAGTACTATGGAGGCTGAGGCAGGAGGATTGCAAGTTCCCAACAGGGCAATTTCACAAGTGGGGGATGTAGCTCAAAGGTAGAGCACCCTGGGTTTGATCTACAGAACCACAAAAACCGACAGCCCTGCAGCTCCTCTCTGGGAGGTATCAGAGAGAGCCAGGATTAGGAGACAGGACCATTTCCTCCACTTGCCATGTGCTGGGCTCTGCATGTACTGATAATAGCACCAAGTCATAGGGACTGGAGGATTAAAGGACAGAGGGTATACTACACATATGTGGTATCCAATGTGCCTCAAGCCCTTTGCACTGCTTTTGTGTGAATGGCAGCCAGGTGATTGTCATCATTTTCCTTCTGTCTGGCCAGGCCATGGTCTGGCCTTCTAAACGCTTGCTGGTGAGCTCCCCAGATAGTAGTCGAGGGCTTGGTCTCACTCCCCTTCAGGAGCAGCCCTAACTGGCATCCGTCTAACGCCTGCTGCACGTCAGGCTGGATGAAGGAAGTTGGCCTCTCCTTTGCGCAGCTGGGGGAAAGGGAGGCTTGTAAAGTTTAAGGGATGGGTGGTATCTGCAGCCTCTCAAGAGCCCTGGGTGGGACAGAGCCGGTTGCTACTGCACCCTGCAGGGTCGGTGAGATGGACAGAGGACGGAAGGAAGCAGAGGTCCTGGCGTTTCCACCCAGGACTTGCTTCTTGTCTGCTGGGCTCTTGGCTGCAGCAGGAGGGGGACATCCCACAGGACACCCGAGGGACCCGAACTGTGCAGAAGCAGAAGCAGTCGCCTACCGAGGTCAGCAACGCCACCTGCCAGCTGCGGAGCTGCCACTCGCAGTGCAGCTGTGGGGCCAGGATGCTCAGGATCATCATCTCCATAGCGTCGGCCATCTGCAGAGGGAAGGGGACACCGTGAGGCCAGGGTGCTGCCCGGTGCGGGGACAGCTGGCCAAGCCCTCAACCCCACAGAGCGTGTGGCAAATTCTTCACCACCACCCAGGGCCCCCCAAACATCCAGACCCGGAGGGCCCCAGTGGTTAGAGCAAGCGCTACCACGCGAGAAGGGACAGAGACATCGGGTGTCCTTTGTGTTTCCCCACATTCACAGAAATACGGATCCTCCCCAAGGAAGAGGGAAGACATCGTATTTCGGAGGTCTGAGCGAAAGCATTCTGATGGAGATGGGCCGACAATGACCTCTCCTCTTTGGTGCAATTAAAGGCTAGTTGGTCTTTGTTTCCTAGGTCGTTTGTTCATGTAGCATTGGTAATCAGTATATTTCATAAGCATGACCTTTTCGTGTATTAAAACATACTAGGAAGCCCCAGTAATGAAATATCTTTGACTTTACAGGACCAGCCAGCCAGAATAATAAGAAATGAGAATTTAAAAGCAGATTCACACCACCGTGGGATATAAAGTGTGTGATAAGGCGCTTTCCAAATTAGTGACAGAATCGGTGTGGGGAAGCTGATGATCCGTCTGGACAGACGTGTAGTTAGATGGTTGTCCTGCACCATTCCCAAAAATCAGTTTCAGATGGTTAAGGGTCTAGCTGTGCTATTCACCACAACCGTATAAGGAATTTTAACAAAGGCTACGAGCACCTTGAAGTAGAAGGAAAAATTTAAACCATCTGTTTGTCTGTTTGTCTCATTATGCAGTTCAGGCTGGTCTTGAACTCACTATGTAGCACAGGCTGACCTTGGAGTTGAGGGATCCTCCTGCCTCAGCCTCCAGAGTGCTGAGATTACAGGTGAGCGCCACCACGCCTGGCTTAGAACCGCTTATTTAAATAGAAGCTTCCATTCCATCCTTGGCACAAGCACCAGCCACACCCAGTTCCCTCCAACCACTCATCGCCCCGCAGAAACTCTGCTGGAATTCAGGTAGATTGTCCACAGAAAGAGCTGTGCCCTTCCTCGTAAGCCCCAGGAACCCAGCTGAGCAGCAGGGGGTGGGGTTCCTTGGCGGTAAACGGGAGGCCACTGTACCCCAGAAATACTTGCCCAAGCCAAGCCGGTGAGGACAGACAGCTTCCACTGAAACTTTCCAAAGCCAATGGCTTCCACCGCATCTTCCACCATGAAAGTGTCTGGGGAGGAGAAAGAGGGAGGGAGAGAAAGGACCATCATCGCACCTTGCGTTGGTCGGGAGTGGTCCCCGGCCCAACTGATGAATGCGGCACATGCTGGTTCTAGATCGTATCCTCGAGAAATTCCAGCAAGAGTAGAACAGTGCTTTGCCACTGTGACATTATTTGCAACCTAGAAAACTGGGGTCACGGTTTATACCTGGATATCATCCCAAGGGCTCCTGAGCTCCTAGGCACGGCTCTTTGGGTATGTGATACGCCTCGGAGGATGAGTGTACAGCTAAAGGTGATGTTGGGAGGTGGAAGCCAGCGGGAGCGAGCGGGTCACCAGGGCCGAGTCTCGGAAGGCCTCCCCCCACCTCTCCCCTCCCTCGGCCTCCCTGGGGCCGTGACGCGAGCGTGCCACGCCGCCACCGGCCTTGGAGCCAGCAACTATGGGTTGAAACCTCTACAAACGCGAGCCAAAATACCCCTTTCCTCCTTTAAGTTGGGGGTGTCAGAAACGGTCTCAGTGATGAGGAAAGGGACAAAGACAATTGGAAAATGCAAGATGTCTACCATTATGCAGTATGACCCAGCTATTGAAAAGAATAGCAGATATGGAAAGGTGCGCATAACAGAGGAGTTAACTTAAAAGTAAAATAAGATGCGCAATAAAACAGTATGGTGCGCTCTACCACCGAGCCACATCCCCAGTGCAAATGATTTTTTCTTTCTTTCTGTTTTTTTTTTGAGACAGGGTCTCACTGTGTAGTTGAGACTGACATGGAACTCACTGTGTAGCCCAGGCTGGTCTCGAACTCACAGCGATCCTCCTGCCTCAGCCTCCCGAGTGCTGGGATGACAGGCGTGCGCCACCACTCCCCAGCTCCAAATGACTTTTTAAAAAGCAGAATTCCACGAGCACTGAGACAGAAATATGTCCACATTGTGTTACTGCGTGGAAAATGCAAGGACAGGTACGTTCCAGAAGAGCTGTCTCTGGAATAAAATTAGGTATCGGTGTGGGTGTGCATCCTACACAGGTAGAAAGAGGGAATAGATGTCCTACAAACTGCGAACAGAGTCTTCTGCGAGAACAGCACTCACTTTTCTACTTGGGACATTCCTATCGTGTCCGGATGCTTGCCCGAAAACATGCTATTTTTGTGCTCAGAAAAACAAAGTTTAATTTACAAGCTAATAAGTATTTCGGCAAATACACAAAAGCCAAGTGTCTTGTGGCACACATCCTAGTGTAACACGCGTGGAAAAGCTGGTGACAACTGGGCTGAACCTGCACGTCGATCCCAGTGTGTATCTGTGCACGATGTTAATTTCTCAGTCGCGCCAAATGCACCTTGTGTAAGTGAACTGTTTATCTCGGAGGAGGCTGCATAAAGCGCATACGGGAGCCTTCTGTATTCTGCTGTACTCTGAATCTGAAATCTCTCCCAGAGGCCTGCACGGTAAAGGCATGGTCCCTACCTGTAGCTCTGTGGAAGATACAGACCTTCTTAAAGGTTGGAGAAAATGAGGTTATTGTCAAGGACTAGGCTCTGTAACTCAGATCTCAGTCTTCCCAGGTCAATGTTACCTTGCCTCAGAACAGGGAAATATGCGGAAGGGCCCCATGCCCCATGGCTACGGGTGGAAATGGATAACCCCGCACTGCACTCTGGGTAGCATCTGCTGAGGACAGCTGTCAATACACGGGCATTTGGGTGTCAAGAGAATCTGGTTCACTAACTTCATCCTTATCCGCCTATTCTCTATAGTTGCTGGTTCCATGAAATGCACACCTACCCCTCCTCCTGTGCTTCTCACCAGCTAATAAAAGTGGGCCAGCCACAGAGTTCTGTCTGCTAGCAGATGCTCTCCTCCTGGTTCCCCCTTATATCTTGAGAATCGTCTCTGTCGCTTTCTTTTATCCCTTGTCATCCCCCCCCAAAGTAGCTGAGGGCCTGATCAGCCCTCAATAGGTTATTGGGTGCATGCTCTTGAAGGGAATATCGAGACCTGACCCCTTCCCTCTCTTTATTTCCCATCCCAGCTGCCAAGAGGTGAATAGCTTTTTCTGCCTTGTGCTCCTGCCTGATGTGCCTAAAATGAGGGAGCCAAATGATCATGGACTGAAACCTCTGAAACTGTGAGCAAACCTTTCCTCTTTTTAAGTTTATCGTCTCACTTATTTTGTTATAGTAACAGGAAGCTGACTAACATCTTTTTGTAAGTCTAAAAGGATTACAAAATAAAAAGTTAATTAAAAAATAAAATACTACAGGAGGATGTTGGATGGCCTTTCCAAGGGCAAGCTCTGGGGATCTCATCAGTCCCTGATGGAAGCCATCATCGTTTTAAAATTTCAACCAGGAGTCTCTTATGGCAATCATAATTTTCTCCAAAGTGTGATCTGATGTTTGTCACACTAGCAGTGAGCTGCAGTTTCCTCATCTGCAAAATGGGGGAAATGATGGAACTGTTGTGAGGATTAAATGGGTAATACATGCAGCATGCTTAGAACAGAGCCTGACACAGAGCAGATGCTCAGCGTGTCAGCTGCTCCCACAGGCTGGCATCACCCCCACTCCCCTACCATGATAACCAAAATCATCCCGCCATCATCATTGCACTGCTGTTGCCTTCACGGCCATCACCATCCCACCGTCACCATCGTCACTGTTACTGTCCTTGGCTGGGTGTCACGCCATCATGCTGACAGGTCGCCTTGCCTGCTCGAGTGAACCACGTAGGCCCAGCACACACTTCCAGCCTCACTTCTGGGCCCTCTGCACCCCCCCCCGCGGTCCTTCATGAGAACTTCTGGGAGTGCTGCCTGGGGAGCAAGCCTGGCACCTCAGGGTCCCTGACCAGGGCCCAGGTTCATGCCTCAGCCACAGGGCTCTCTCACCGTCAGTGGGATTAGCAAATTCCTTGGGCACAGCTGCTCCATCATCCAGCTCAACAGCTTCTAGGCCCACTCGGACCCCTTCGATCTGGACCTCATGCTCTCCTGAAACCGTGTCGTCCTCTGACCTTGCGCTCTCACCTGTGCGACGGAATTTCACCACCCTAGAGAAAAGAGCACATCTGATCAAGATGACTAGCACTCCCCACCAGTGGCCTTGCTGCATAGCTCTTGGACCCAAGACAGGTGACTGCCTTGTTTTTCATGGAGAGTTGAATAGCTGGGAACTAGCCTTTTCCTTGAATTGGGCTGCAGATTGAACCGAGGGCCTCACATATAGTAGGCAAGTGCTCAAACTCTGAGCTGCGTCTCCAGGCCTATTATCTGCATTTTGTCACCCTATCCAAAATAATCATTGTCAAATCCAGTGTCACAATGCTTTCCCCCCATACAGTGGTCCTTGGTTCACAAACTTGTTTTACGATTTGGGAAAAGATGACTCTACGTATGTCTGTGTGGGGAAGATGACCATGGCTGTGTTTGGGAAGCAAACCTTTGTTGAACATTTTTGTTTGAAAGCCAAATTCTTTGTGAACTGAAGTGCTCGTGAACTGAGGCATTACTGTATTTTCTTTTCTTTTTTTGGCACCAGGAATCGAACTCGGGTCCCTGCGCTTGTAAAGCAATCACCGGAACCACTGAGCTAGATCCCTGGCCCTACTGTATTTTCTTCTAAAGTCTTTTTTTGTTAAGTTTAGGTCTTGCCTTTTGGGCTAACTTTTTTATAATGTGTACGCTAAGAGTCCAACTTCACCCTTCTGCATGTGGCTATCTATTGTTCCCAGTATCATATATTGAAAAGACTGTCCTTTCCCATGCAGTGATCTTGGTGTCCTTGTTGAAAACCAGCTGATTTAAGGGTTGACTGCAGATACATGAGATCTCTTGTTACCTTGGCAACCAACCTAGGAAGGAGGTCTGATTATCATACAGTTTTATGGAGGAGAAATCAGGTGCCCCAGGAGGTTAAGGAACTTGCCCTAGATCACATAGCTTGATGGAACTGAGGCTTAGTCTGGCTGCCTTTGGTATTAAAGCTCTTGGTTCGAGTCCCTGGGAAGTAAGCCTGGCCCTCTGCTAAGCCTTCCTGTGCCCGGGGGATACATGTGAGGCCCAGGCTGAGCTGGCCTATGGGGGTGGACTTGCCAGCCGTGGAAAATGATGTGTTCTAGGGCTGGAACCAAAGGGCGCAGCTCGATGGCAGCCTGGCTGACAGTGCTTCAGGATACCACCTGCCGCAGGGTTCTGGACCGAACAGAGCCTCAGAACCCCACAGGGCAGGTCATAACACAGGCGGTCGGCTGGGCCCACCCCCGGGAGGTCTAACTCCTGAGGTCTGTGTTGCGGGATGGAGATTCTGCATTTCTAACAGTTCTTCTATGCTGCTGAACTTGGCTGGTCTGGAAGCCTCTTTCCTATGCCAGAATTAGACAGATGGTTCTGCTGCCCCCTCCCCATCATGAAGTAGCCCTGCCCAGGGACCTAGCCCTTCCCCTCCCCAAGTTGACTGCCTGCAGTCTGGCCCCCAACCTGAGAGGCCCAGGACACAGGACTCAACCTGCTCTCTGGAGCTGGGGCCTCCCTTGCAGCTGGAACGCAGGTGTTACTTAGGAGCAAAGTCTTAGAGATCAGTCACCCTAGACCGGCACATATTCTTAGAAAGTGGGCCCCAGAAGATCTCTTATAAGCCATTTGCAGTCCAAGAGCAGCATTTGAGCCAGGCACATTTGAGTCACCATTGGCACCATTGGCCTATAATACCAGAGCTCTGGGAAGCTGAGGCAGGAGGATTGCAAGTTCAAGTCTAGCAAAAACCTGTCTGAAGATACACACACACACACACACACACACACACACACACACGGAAGAAGAAGGAGGATGAAGAGGATGTAAAGGAGAAGGGGGAGAGCATTTGATCCAATGTGCATTTATCTGGAGCAGCTTTTAGGGGATCCCCATAGAAATTACGGGGTACTTTAAAGCCAGAGTGTGCCCCCTTATTTATTTGTAGCACCTGCCAGGATCTGTGGGGTAAAATCTTCCATGATGGCCAATTTCAAGCTGCAGTGGTTAGATGACAAATTCCTGTACATGTAACAGCCAATCTGTTCTCTGGAGCTGGTACAAGCAGGCTGCAGCACCTCATATTAAAGAAACAAAAATCCTCAAAGCACAGATCTGTGGTGCAACACAGGTGAACCGAAAACACTATGCTTAGTCTAAGAATCCCGTCTTAAGAGGCTACACAGTTCTGATTTTATTTATACAAAGTATCCAGAGCAGACAAATCCATAGAGAAAGAAGACTCATGATTGCCAGGGCCTGGGAATTACCTGGGGATGGGGACTCCTTGCTTAACATATGTTGTTGTTGTTGTTTTGTTTTGTTTTGTTTTGGTACAGGGGATTGAACTCAGGACCTTGCGCTTGCAAGGCAGGCGGCAGAACCACTGAGCTAAATTCCCGCCCCTGAATCGTATGTTTTCAACAGTTAAAATGATTAACTTTATGTTATGTGTATTTTGCCATCTGAAAATTAAAATCCCAGAAAAAACCAACTCTGACCACTGCCATGACCTTAGTAGAATCTATTTGTTCTTTTGTCGAGCACCTGCCATGTGCCAAGCCCACGCACAGGTGGTGCTGGGATTTCAAAGTGTGCCAACAACTCAGACTCCATCCTGCAGGGCTCAAAGTTTCCTGGGAAGGGGTCAAGCATTTAAAGTATATGGATACAGTAGTGGCACCATCCTAGCTATTGGAGAGGCTGAGGCAGGAGGATCACAAGTTCAAGGCCACTCTCAAAATATAGAATGGACCTTGCACATTCTAGCCCTGCCTTTGAGCTACAATCCTAACTTCCAGAATTTCTTCCTTTTATAAGGTGAATACTCAGTCCTACGGATAGACCACATTTTGTTTATCCATCCATCTGCCATGGACACTGGCAATTGTGATACATCGTACACTGCGATACATTTTCCTACTTGAATGGGCCATTGTCGGCCTAATCGCTTCTCTCCTGAGGATTGTTCCTAGTTTTGTATCATCACAAGCAAAGCTGAAAACAGCAAGGCAACAGCAGAAGAGAACATGACAGCGTGGCCGGGAGGTGGTACTCCAAAGTCAGATGGCTGTACCAAAGCCTGGTGTCCCCATTTCTGGGTGACTTCTCTGTGCTTAAGAGTCCTTGTCTTAGCCAGGTGTGGTGACAGACAGCAGTTATTCCAGCACTTAGGAGGCTGAGGCAGGAGGATCACCATGAGTATAAGACCAGCATGCATTACAAAACAAGACGCTGCCTCAAAAAATACAACAAAAACAAAGGAGCGAAAAGTCCTCATCTGTAAAATGGGGTTGTAATCCACGTAAAGTGCTGAGCTCTGGATATGACCCATGACACGTTCATCTTAGTCTGTATCAGCCACTGTGTGCATAGCAAATCGTCACCTACTACATGACAAGTTGCCAGCAGAATAGTTCTGGGTGGGGGCGGAATTCTGAGAGATAAAACAAATGACCTTTAAAAAAGATTGCAGGGGTTGGTGTCAGTCACCGAAGGAGTAGGGAGCCATGGGTGTTTCCTGAGGAGGAGATGTGATGAAAGGAGTATTCGAGAAGCCATCAGGCCCCAAATTCATTCTGTGGTGCTGTCTTCAGAGTCGAGGGAAATGTATGGACCTTCCCCTCATCCATAAAAATGAAGGGCTGATATATGTAAATATTCATTTTCTTCCTCCCCTATTAATTCTACGACTGCCATGGTATGTGTGTGGGGGGCTATTAATGGTGATAGTTTTAATTTATTTATTTATTGGTACCAGGGATCGAACTCGGGACTTTGTGCTTGCAAGGCAGACAGCAGCACCACTGAGCTAAATCCCCGGTCCAATGCCATTTATTTTAGAGTTGCTTCTTGGGTCAGGGAGCCCTACTCATGTGTAGATCTCTGTCTGGAGCCCATTTCACAGCACCTTTTACTTATTCCACACTCAGAAAGTCAAAGCCCCAGCCTGCCCCAGCACCCATCATGAGCCTTTCACTGTGCCCAGTGTATATCTCCCAACTCCCAAGCTCTCTCTCTCTCTCTCTCTCTCTCTCTCTCTCTCTGTCTGTCTCTGTCTGTCTCTCTCGTCTCTTAGTGGTGGTACCGGGGATTGAACCTAGGGCCTTCAACCTGAGCTACATCCCAGCTTTTTAATTTTGAAACAGAATCTCACTAATTTGCTCAGGCTGGGCTTGAACTTGCAGTCCTCCTGCCTCAGCCTCACAGAGTTAAAACAGAAATTTTAAAAGCTGGGAGTGGGATATGACTGTAATCCCAGTACTCTAGGAGGCTGAGGCAGGAGGATCACAAGTTCAAGCTCAGCCTGGACAACTTAGCAAAACCTTGTCACAGAAATAAAAAAATGGGGCTGGGGGTGGTGAAGGGAGGGCAGGGACAAGGGGAAAAAATGAGAACCAAGACTTGTCATGTAGAGGTATAAGACCCCAACAATGAATGTAACTGTACTATATCCCTAAAATGTACCAATAAACTCAATTAAAGCAGAAAAAAAATGGGGCTGGGAATTTGGCTCAGTGGTTCTGCCATCTGCCTCGCAAGTGCAAGGACCCTAGTTTGATCCCTGGTACCAAAAAATAAATTTTAAAAAGATTTGTTAAAGGCTGTGTACATAGCTCAATGGTAGAGCACTTGCCTGGCATAAGCAAAGCTTGGTGTTCAAGCCCCAGCATAACCAAAACAAACTAACAAAAAGAAAAAAGAGATCTCTGACATTAAATTATATTCAGAAAGCCAGACAGCATTTAGAATCAGTTGGGTTCCTAAAAGTATTTATCATCCATATGAGCCAAGATTTCCCGATAAAGAAGAAAATGTAATATGACAGAAAAAGAAAATAGCAGTGACATATGTTAAATATGTGAGGGCTTCAAAACAGCCTGGCTCTTCTGTACATATTTCTTGGCATTTGTATATATCTATCTTATAATTTACCAAAATAGCCAGGAACATTTATTTTGCATAATTTTGCTATTTAAGGAAGAGAAAAACTTGAGGAAATAGCTGTCAACTTGCAGATCTTGTTTGTACCATCAGGCCT